GCTGATGGTCCTTCTTGAGCATGTGATCAGCTGGTTTTGGTTGTCAGCAGCAAACTGGTTGATTCACTCTGAGAAGGTGCTATTTAAGAGACTGAACTGAAAACAGCACCTCAGACTGAGGAAGTCTCTTGGATGAGAGACGAAACGTTTCTATATTTTTTTGCTTTGTTTTGTTTTTTGTGTTTTTTTTTTTTTTAATGTCCAGAGGACCAGATTGAACTTTTTTGCATGGAGAATATTGTTCTATTTCGTATAAGCTTCGCCCTTTAAGGCTGTCACTGATGGGTTTATCCTGATATGCAAAGCACTGCACTGAAAAATTTAGTCCACGCCCACCTGCTGTGTGGGCCCCACCCGGTCCGTATAAATTACGTTAAGAGCGGGAAATCAGCTCCCATTTTTTCTTCAGCAAGCTAATAGCACTGTCAGAAGAACGAAGAAGGAAAGTTGTGTAGATGACCAACCTTTGTTAAGAATGTTTGGCCCGGCACGTCGACCTCCGGTCGTCCAGTGAGCTCTCGTCCCCGAGGAGAAGCTGACGAGCAGTCTTGTTTCAAGGTAAGCGCCGAGGAATATTTCTCAGTGACAGGTCACTACACGCTGGACAACGCCATCTTGTAATTTTCCTCTTATCGCCGACCCTCGGAGTGAATCGGATGGTTCCTCCGGGACAGGCAGCATCAGCTGCAGCCCCCCATTGCTCATTCCCTCCTGGAGAGCGTAGTGTCGGTGGAGGGGGGCTGAGCGAATGCTCACCTCATCCCACCTCGTTTTGCATCGGCGATTACACCGCTCCCGGCCGACGGCACCCTCTGGGGTTGCCCGGCGTAACCCAGGAGGCGGCTGACATGAAGGGACCCTCTTTTACATCCCACGCCTTTTCCCGCCAGTTCGGATGATCCGGCGGGAAGGTTGTTTTTACTGGGTTCCATTCCAGCTCACCATCTTGATCCATCTGGCCTCGTTTTCCGCACCCATCTCCAGAGCAGGGGTTCACCGTGCGGAAAGTCTCTCAGTGCCCCCTGGAGCCAAGCCTGACGGGGGCTTCATTGGAGCAAGATGTCCAGGTGGACCAACCTGGTGCCTCCGGTTAGCGTAACCGAGACGGTGACACCGCTCTCCAACTGAGCTCACCAGCATGCGTTCCAGACGGCCGCAGCGAGTAACACGTTACGCTGTTGGCGTACACGTTCAGAGGTGGGAAGAGACGGTGGGCCCTCTGACCTTTGGCTCGCTCCGCTCTCATAGCGGCTGTTTGCTAACAACGCTATCGGCCCCTGCAGTACGCTCCGTCTACAGGGCAGCTGACGTCATCCTCAACCGGTGCGCCTCTTTTGCTGTCTGCCGCCCTGTATCGCAGCCAGAGAACGAGGTCCCAGAGGTTCTCCTGGCTCGTCACTCCACCTTCCTCTCAGGAGAGCTGCAGAAGCTTTTGTTGGAGGACCTTTTTCATCAGCGAGAGATCATTTCAAGATGCTCCACGGCTGTACAACGCCTCCCCAGCTCTGTTACGCCAGCCCCTCCCGTCAGACGTCCCCGGCATCCGGAAGTTCTTTTTTTTCCCGGATTTCGCCAACGGGGGGCCCTCTAGGACAACAAACAGAGCTCAAGGGAGGATACCCAGGTGTCGGTTTGCTGGAGGTGTGTTGATGACACGATGTGAAATAAACATCATTTTATGATGAAGTGCTTTTAGCCAGGCTGTCAGCACGGATGATCTGACAAACGGCCCCATCACACACACTCATCACGAATGAGCCTTTTAAGGTTGTTTTCAATCACTGCCAGCAGTGCCAACATGCGCTCCCGTGGCATGAAAGCGCGCACGCAGCTCTCAGCGTCCGCCGTTCACGTCAATGTTAACGTGAGACCGCGGTACGAGCCCAGTAACGTATCTCGCTTTCGGCAGGAGCGACACGCGTTTTCATCGCAGTGGTGTCAAATGCGCGCTCCCGCGGCGTCAACAGTTTCACAAGCCTCACAGCGGCTCCGCTCCTTCATCCTCGAAGAAGGTTCTCTGAATTAATACTGCCGCTCGTGGAATCACTCAAAAGCTCACGTGATTCGCAGCCAAGAATGAACGTGTTTCTGCAGACCAAGCCCAGTGGTAACCTTGCCCCACCGATGCTGCGCGCTGCTTTCTGACCGCACCAGCATCAAAAGCGCGCTCCCGCGGCAATCCTGGCTTAAGGCGTCGCATGAATGAGGGCACGCACACACGACTCTTCAGGGCACGTCGGCTCATACATGCACCCGCTCCCCGAGCGTTTACACGGATCAGCTGCACACAACGTGAGCACAGCACATGAGCTGCGTCTCGTAGCATCAGCAAACGCACAACGATTTGCATGCTCGGGGGCGCGCATGTTTTCTTTATCCTTCAGTGTGCACCAGCTCACATCAGCATGCATGTGAGTTTCACAGCATAAATGTATGCCCGCTTTATAACTTTATAAACGAGTGACAATGAGCGCGCGCTCCAGACGGATGGGCGAACCGTTTTCATCTGGGGATTCACACAGACAGCAAGTGACTGTTGCATACATAATTGGCAGGAGATGTATGTGCTCAACCCATGTGCCACATTGTGAGACAGATGCTGTGTGGGGCACACCCAATCTGCTCTCCATTGGAGTGGGGTGGACGTGTCTGCTCACAGCCTGTGGTCGTAATGCTTCTTCACCTCCCTCTCTCCCTCTGATATCACGGTTTTCTGAACCGAGCTCAGGAGGAGGGACTGACAGCTCCTCTGTCCCAAGTGCGTGAACACATCATGGTTCCCAGGCCTACAACACTTGTTATCGGGGTGCTCGTGGAACCTGCCGTGGAGGGAGGACGGGGCGTTCATGCATTCAGAACGCATAGTTACACAACATGTGTCTGTGCATGGCACACATAATTACGCAATGCGTAATTATGCACATGGGAAGCTGAGTGACAAGACGTTTCTTGGGCAAGCTTCTGCTTCATACGGTGTTCGGATGGACCCAATGAGGCGAAGACCACACCGGCTTCGCCCTTAACCCATCAGCGACAGCCTTAAAGGGCGAAGCTTATACGAAATGGAACGTTGGTTACATACTATAACCCCAGATTCTATGAGTATAAGCGTAGCCCTTTAAGCATCGGGCCTCACTGG